CAGGGCCTCGTGTATAGTAGGCAAGTGTCCTACTACTCAACTGCGCTGCCAGCCCCAGGAGTATCTCTCTGTGTCCAGAAAAAGTTGATTTGATAAACATATAAACATGCTTAAGTATTTACTTGGATTGATTAATGAAAGCTTATCTGGAATCTATAGGAAATATGGCTTTCTGGACTATCTGCCACCATCCTGTGACCTAAGAAACATCTAACTTCAGTTTTATATAAGAAAATGTACTTATTTTGTTTTATGCATTTATTTTTGTTTTAAAAATCGATTCTTCACTAGTACTTCAAATGGGAAGTTCCTTTTATTGCTTTCAATGTAAATAAACTTTTTAAATGTTTCAAAAGTAGGGGAGTCTTAGAAATGATTAGTATATTAAGAGAGGTATTAAAGTTCTTAAGCCCCAAATTAAGTCTTTTTCTTTGAACTAATCAGAATTTCGAGGTTTAAAAGTAGAATATTTTCCAGTGCTCCTGTGGTATAGGTCTCTGACTTTGTAAAACCTTGTTCTGATCCAACTTAAGGGACCACAGGGCTAAACAGGGGCAAATCTGATATTAACCTCTAGGCTCTGGAATTGTGGAAAACCAGTGCAGCCCGATGCATTTTTCTTGATGATATGCCTCACTAGGCTGCTGTTCCCTTGCTTAAGATCATTTGGTGGCTGTTGTGGTTTGGATTTGAAAATGTCACCCAAAGAGCTCATTTGTTAGGCAATATAGCAATACTCTGAGGTAAGAAGATTGGATTATAAAAGCTGTGACTTCATCAGTGGATTAATCATTTGATGGGTTAATCATTTGAATGGACTGCTGAGTGGTAAGTGTAGGGGGGCGGGTGTACCCTTAGAGGATTTGTCTTGTCTCTAGCTTCCTTCTCTTGCCTTCCTGAGTGCCATGAACTGAGCAGATTTCCTCCTTCTCACTCTTCTGCCCCTTTCCTTGGGCCCAGAGCCCTGGAGTGACTGTCATGGACTGACCCTCAGAAATTGAGCCCCAAGTAAACTTCCTCTCTGAGTCATTCTTGTCAGGTCTTTTGGTCACAGCAACAAAAAGCTGACTAACGGGTAATGGCTATCTGTTGCGCCTGGGGTAGATAGGGAGTGTCAACGTGTCTTTCCTGAGTTTCCTCAAAAAAGGCAAGATCTATTTGGATTTCTTTTCATATATATTTTTTAAGATTAGTTGTAGATGGACAAAATACCTTTATTTTATTTATATTTTTGTGGTGCTGAGGATTGAACCCAGTGCCTCTACCGCTGAGCTACAACTTTAGTGCCTTCTTTTTGTATTTCTGATAAACTTTTTTTATGGTTTTAGAATGAAGCTCGTAAATTGAATCACCAGGAAGTTGTGGAAGAAGATAAAAGACTTAAGTTGCCTGCAAACTGGGAAGCCAAAAAGGCTCGTTTAGAATGGGAACTGCAGGAAGAAGAAAAGAAAAAGGTCAGGAACTACTCCACTGCCTTCATGAGCTACGTCTTCCATCATTCTCTTGCATTGAGACAGGAACATGGTCATTGATAGCCTGGCTCCGCAGCCAAATTTTGGAATTGAAAGCTTAGCTCCGCTCTTCAGTGGCTGCCACACTTTGGGCGAGTTATTTAACCTTGAGTTAATTATAAATTAAATGAGTTAACGTATGCAAAATGTTCAAAATAGGGTCTGATACCTGTTTAAACACTAAGAGGTATCATTTGCTCCCTTATATACCACATCAAATTCCTAGATTTCTTTCATATAGCAATCATTTTTTTAAAAAGTATTGCTTAATGTCTTTTTTCTGTTGGTCATCTGTGGACGCCCCCTTTTTTTTTTTCTTTTTTGGGTACTGGGAATTGAACCCAGGAGCCTTTAGCCACTGAGCCACATCCCCAGCCCTTTTTTTATATCATATTTAGAGAGAGGGCCTTGCTGAGTTGCTTAGGGCCTCGATAACTGCTGAGGCTGGCTTTGAGCTCATGATCTTCCTACCTCAGCCTCCCATCCTGCTGGGATTCAGGCACATACCACTGTGTCTATCTTGTGGACACCTTTCAACACTGAGGGACAGGGACTTCCTTCCTAGCTTTACTTAATGTCTTTATTCAAACTTTGCTGATTTAGATTAAGTAATTGCTTGAATTATAATTGAGGGAACCAGTTCTTCTTTTTAGGAGTGTGCAGCAAGAGGGGAAGACTATGAGAAGGTGAAGTTGCTGGAGATCAGTGCAGAAGATGCAGAAAGGTGGGAGAGGAAAAAGAAAAGGAAAAATCCTGACCTGGGATTTTCAGGTAAAATTGACCTTTCCTGAATAAGCCAGTCAGACAGCATTGGCTTCAGCTTTCTGCTTTTCTGAGCGGAGGCTCGAACTTCCTCCTTCCGTGGAATGTTTGCTGAGAGGCCTAAACCCCAGGGAAATGCACATGCCTCTTAGAGGATGGAGCTGAAAAAGGCTCTGCGCCTTCAGCCCAGTTCTTCTTTGTGGTGTCTGTACTGGCATATTCTGGATAAGAGACCATGGATTAGTGTCTGTGCACATGTTACTTAATAACAACTTGATTTTTTTCTGAATAGTAACGGCCAAACAAGGACACATGTCATCTGATTCTCATTTCATTTTTAGATTATGCTGCTGCCCAGTTACGCCAATATCATCGGTTGACAAAGCAGATCAAACCTGACATGGAAACCTATGAACGACTGAGGGAAAAACAGTAAGTCCATAGGTTTTATGTATGTTGTTTTCTCATCTTGGGGGTCTGTGTGTATTTATGTGGGTGTATGTGCACACACCTACACATACAAGGGTGTAAATACTGGCACACTTTATGCTGAGCTGTGGGTTATTAGCAGTTCCTAGGAATGGTCTCTATTTTTTCAGCACTATTTATGATTCAGTTGATAGCAGTTAAGCCTCGTCATCCCCCCTCCCCCCAACACACACACTGTGGCTAAAACCCAGGCGTGATGTACCCTAAGCTGCATCCCTATTCTTTTTTTTTGGAGACAGGATTTCACTAAGTTGCCCAGGGTGGCCTTGAACTTGCAATCCTGCCTCTGCCTTCCCCGTCTCTGAGGTTGTGGTGTGTGCCACCCACACCCACAAGGCCTGTCTGTTCACTTTGTTGCAGTTAAACTAACCACTTGTTTCTCTTTCAAGCTGGCATTCTGAGTGTTGATAGCTAAGACCCAGATTAGCACAGGTAGATATTATTTATGAGGCAGAAAGCTTTAGTGCTGGGGTGGGTGAATTTTTTTTGTTTTGTTTGAAGGATTAAACCCAGGGGCTCTGTACTACTGAGCTATATCCTCAACCATTTTTATTTTGAGTCAGGATTTCACTAAGTTGCTCAAGGTCTCAGTAAATTTCTTAGGCTAGCCTCAAATTTGCGATCCTCCTGCTTCAGCCTCCTGAGTCTCTGGAGTTACAAGTATGAGTTACCCCAGGTGGGGTGTTTTTTTGTTGTTGTTTTTGTTTTTTTAAATAAAGGACCAGATAGTAGATGTTTGGAGCTTTTCGGGCCATGTGGTCTCGTTATAGCTGCTCACCTGTGCAAGTGCAATGTGAAAGCAGCCATAGAGATCCGTGAATGACTGAATGTGTCCCAGTAGAACTGTTTTCAAAAACATGTGGTTGACTGTAGTTTGAAGGCTGCTGCTTTAGTGGAAAGAGATCCAGAGCTCAGAGCTCTAATCCCAACTCTGCAGCCTTTGATGAGCCCTTTCACGCGGGGCCATTGCCTTGTGCATCTGAAGGATGAAGGTGTTGGAGTAGGTGATTTCGTAGGTCCTTTTTAATTCTATATCTTTTTTTTTTTAATTTAAAAGTAGAATGTCACAGTAAGTGTATGTATATATCTTGTCACACCATGAGATCGTGAGTGGTAATTCAGTTTGAATTTGAAAATGAAAATCTGTGGTGGTGTTTTAAGTCCATTTTGCTGTCTTTTCAGTGGAGAAGAGTTTTTTCCGACGTCCAACAGCCTCCTTCATGGGACACACGTGCCTTCCACAGAGGAGATTGACAGAATGGTCATGGACCTGGAGAAACAGTGAGTCCTCAGAGCAGCCTGCCTGTTAGCTGCTAAGTGACAGGATGGGCTTGGTGTGTGTCTCAGGCCGTTGTGCTTTGAGAGAGTTAAATAGAAACAACACTTGCTCTTGTCTGGCCTGGGTCCGCAGCGGTTTTGAGGATGGGCAGCCATGTGGATTCAGTCCCCACGATCTGGAATAGAGATGCGCACGTTGATGGAATGGGACCATCATGTGTCGGCTCTCCATCACTGGGACAAAAAGTTGAGACAAGTTACAAGGAGGAAAGGTTTATTTTGGCTCACGTTTCCGAGGTTTTAGTCCACGGTTGCTGGCCTGTTGCTCTGGGTTGTGGCAGCTGGTGATGATGGAGGCCCACGTGATGATGGAGGCCCACATGATGCAGGAGCCTCTTCACCTCATGGGGGAGGCAGCGAGGTGCGAGTGAGAAGGAAAGGGCTGGGATCTTGGTGTCCCTTCAAGGGCACACCAGGTGACCTGACTTTTCCAGCCAAGCCCCCCCTTGTGAGAGATTCCACCTCCTCCCAGAAGCACTGTAGGCGAGTGCCAGGCTTTCCCCACGAGGGGCTTCGGGGGGCGTTCCAGGCCCACCCTTCAGCAGTTAAGAGTCAGAGGAGGAAGAGCTAAAGAAAATGATTTCAAGAGATTTCACTGTAACACCCGCTGCACTATATGTTGGAAGAAACGAGAGCGTCCTGTGAATGTGCCGCAGTTCTATTTGTTTCATTTACTTTGTTTTTGAATATTTTTAGCTGTAGTTGGACACAATACCTTTATTTATTTATTTCTGTGTGCTGCTGAGGATCGAACCCAGGGCCTC